AGCAATGGCACATGATACCATTGATACTTCCACTGTTCATACATCATCACAATTGGCATGGAATCAAAGCATAGCTGATGGATTTGGAGACGTGATACAAGAATTGAGAAGACGACTAATCAAAGAACCTAAACAGCTGGATGTTATCTCAATCGTAGGCATGCCTGGTCTGGGTAAGACAACTTTAGCCTGCAAACTCTATTATGACAAGTCAATTATCTCTCACTTTGATATTCGTGCACAATGTTGTGTGTCTCAAGTATATACATTTCGGAATTTATTACTAGCCATTCTATGTGATGCTATTGGCGAGGACTCTAAATATGAAAACAAGTCTACTAATGAATTAGCTGATGAGCTTCGTAGAACTTTACTACCCAAAAGATACCTTATCCTTGTTGATGACGTGTGGGAAGCTAGTGCATGGGATGATTTAAGGCCTTGCTTTCATGATGCCAAAAATGGAAGCAGAATCATTCTAACAACTCGACATTTTGAAGTTGCCAATTATGCTACATCTGTTAGTAAACCCATTCCTCTTCGTATGTTTAGCGATGATGAAAGTTGGAATTTACTAGAAAATAAATTGTTTGCTGAAGAAAGCTGCCCCCTTCCCTTTGAAGAAGTTAGGCAAGAAATAGCAAAAAAGTGTGGAGGGCTGCCTCTTTCAGTTGTTTTGATGGCTGGTATTCTGTCAAAGATGGAGAAGAAAGAAGAGAGTTGGAAAGAAGTGGCTGCGACATTAAGTTCCCACATACGCAGTGATTCAAAAGCTATTGTAGAACAAAGTTATCAGGATTTACCCTTTCATCTTAAGCCTTGCTTCCTTTATTTTGGAGCATTTTTAGAGGATAAAGTGATTTGACGTTTCAAAGTTAACAAGGTTATGGATATCAGAAGCATTTATTAAAAGTTGCGAAGGCAAGAATTTGGAGGATATAGCAGCAGGTTACTTGGAGAATCTTATTGGAAGAAATCTAGTGATGATTGCTGAGAGGGCCAGTTTAGATGGTAAAGTTGAAGCATGTCGGATTCATGATGTATTGCTCGAGTTCTGCAAGATAAGAGCAACGGAAGAGAATTTTCTACAGTGGATAAAATGGTAATATATACTGTACCAATTAGTGGTACTTTATTTGTTCAATTAATCAAGTATTTCGCGTTACATTTGGAAATTAATGTTATGATTTACTAGTTTAAATATTCACAGTGATATAATATTCAAGTTATATTTGAAAATCAATGTTATGATTTATCTAATTATATTTCCACAGGGATCAGAATGCCAATCCTTCTTCCTGTATTTACTCTTACAAGCAGCATGCTCATGGTCGCTTGGCCTTTAGTGATGTGGGTACTCTTGAAAAATGGAGCTCGTCTTGCTCACTTGTTGGCTCTATACTTTTCAGAAAAGATACCTTACTCCATTTGACAATTTCACGCATATTTCACAATTTCAAGTTTCTGAAAGTCTTGGATTTGGAGGGCACTGTTAATGTTGATTGTTTCCCGATTGAGCTAATTTTTTTTTTGAATTGGTAACTATTGTATATATTATAAAAATCAGTACATAGGTTGCACTGAAAACCAAATTTACATAGAGAGAATTTGAAGATATTCTAATTTAAAACCTAGCAGGATCCTAGTATGTCTATGATTGTCAATGTATCTTCTGTGTACATCTGTTTGCACCAAAAACAAAATAGAAGAATACAATTGAGTTTGATCTTCTGCAGTGGATTGCTTCTGTCTTCAAAACATCTAGTGTTCCTTTCCCTCCAGACTGTCCACCAAATACATGTCGGAACAGTCCTCCATCTATCTCTGCTAGTTGCTTCAGCTCCAGCTTCTTCCCAACTATAAATGACATCTTTAATCCTGTATGGCATTGACCATGAAATACCCCTAAGATTAATAAAGATTTTCCATAGATGGTCTGTAATCTTGCAATGTAGAAACAAATGGTTGACAGTCTCTGCACTCTCCCTACACAGAAAACATCTTGAACACAGTGATATTCCCCTTTTTATGAGATTATCCTGGGTTAAAACCGCTTCTTTTGCTAGTAGCCAAGTGAAGCAAGCTACCTTGTATGGAATCTTTGTTTTCCATATATGTTTCCAAGGCCATGTGTCTACCTGTTGATTGTCATGATTCAAAATCTTATATGCATCCTTCACTCGGTAAACCCCTCTGTTGTGCCTCTCCCACCATATTGAATCCAAACCTTCTTGTAATCCTGTAAATGCTTCCAGCTCTTTGTAGAGGTCAGTTAATCTTGTTATCTCCTAGTCATTCAGCTGCCTTCTTAGAGCTATTTCCCATCCTTGACAACTCCTCATTTCAGCTACTGTCTTATGCTGGTTTTGTGCTAAACCGAACATATCTGGGTATCTTTCCTTTAAGCTTCCAATTCCTAACCAGTTATCATTCCAAAATGATGTGTTCCTTCCGTTGTTCACTCTTATGGAGGAGTGATTCTTCATTATTGGCCAAAGTTCTCTGATGGATTTCCACACATTTACTCCCTGTGATGTTCTGACTTTTTTTGACACCCAGTTGCTTTCTTCACCATACTTTGCTTTGATCACTTAGGACCATAAAGATTGGGGTTCTTTAGAGTACTTCCATAACCATTTAATTCTGAGAGCCTTGCTTTGGTTCTTCAAATTCCTTATCCCCATTCCACCTTGTTTTTTCTCCATTGTTAGCGTCTTCCAATTGACTAAATGGAAGACCTTTTTCTCCTTATTGCCTTGCCAAAGGAATGTTCTTCGGAGTTTGTCCAATCTCTGTAAAACGCCTGCTGGAATTGGGAACAAAGACATCATGTAAGTAGGTAGAGAGTCTAATACTGAGTTGATTAGAACTAGCCTACCCCCCAATGATAGGTACTGCGATTTCCATCTTGACAACTTCTTCTCACACTTTTCTATGACTGAATTCCAGATTTCTTTTGATTTGGACCTTGCACCAAGAGGCATCCCGAGGTAAACTGTTGGTAGGGACCCAACTTCTCTTCCCAATATCTGAGTCAGTTGCCCCATGTTGTTAACTTCATTAATGGGAAAACTATTGCTCTTCCTCCAGTTAATGTGTAATCCTGATACTCCCTCAAATAAAACCAAAATGATCCTTAAGAATCTAAGTTGTTCTTTTTCAGCATCACAAAAGACTAGAGTATCATCTGCGTATTGGAGATGTGTGATATCTAGATTGTTAGCCCCACTCCTGTTTACCTCAAAGCCTTTAACCCATCCACTGACTTTAGCCGTTTTGATCATGTTGTTCAATCCTTCCATAGCTATGATGAATAGGAAGGAGATAAAGGATCACCTTGTCTGAGACCTCTATGTGAATGAAAATAACTTTTAGGACATCCATTTATAAGAATGAAGAATTTCACAGTAGATATGCAAAATTTCATCCATCTAATCCATTTTTGCCCAAAACCCATTTGTTCTAACATTCTTAGTAGGAAGCTCCAGTTCACATGATCATAGGCCTTCTCGATATCCAATTTGCATAAGATTCCAGGTTCTTTCTTCTTTATTCTTGAGTCCACAGCTTCATTAGCAATCATCACTGCATCAATTATTTGTCTTCCTTTGATGAACGCCATTTGTTGAGCATCGACAATTTTCCCAACCACCCTCTTAAGTCTTTCAGTTAAGACTTTTGCGAGCAGTTTGTAGAAGCTCCCTATAAGACTGATCGATCAGAAATCTCTCAATTCTTTCGCACCCGTCTTCTTTGGAATCAAAGCTATATATGTTGCATTGAAGCTTTTCTCAAACATCTCATGTGAATGGAAGTTGTTAAAAGCCGCCATGATATCTTCCTTCAAAATGTCCCAGCACTTTCTGAAAAAACCCATTGTGTATCCATCTGGCCCTGGAGCCTTGTCACTTGCACACATCTTCAGACTGCTCAGCACTTCTTGTTCCTCAAAATTACTCTGTAAAGACTCCCTTTCTGATTCAGAAATGCTTGAACTATTTTCGAAATTGACTGTTGGTCTCCACTGTTCAGGTTCTGTGTAAAGCTCCTTGTAGAATTCAATGATCTCGTCCTCTATTCTTCCTGGATCCTCGATTACTTCATGTCGAATCATTATTTGGTCAATGTTGTTGTTTCTCTTGCGTGCATTTGCAGTCCGATGGAAAAATTTTATATTCCTATCCCCTTCTTTGAGCCACAAATCTCTTAATTTTTATCTCCATGCCAATTCTTCATTCTTGAGTTGCACCACAATCTCCATTAGAGTGGCTGCTTTCCTGACTGATTCCTCCTCTGTCAACGCTCTTAGTTGTTGCGTTGTCTCAAAATCTGCTAGTTTACTTAGCAATTTTGATTTCTGCATTCCCAAATTGCCTTTGTAACTTCTGCTCCATCCTTTTAGCTTGCCCTTGAGAGCTTTTAACTTGCAAGCTAAAATGTAATCAGGTCTTCCTGAGAATTCAAAAGATCCCCACCACTCTCTAATTCTGTCCTCAAAGCCTTCCACATTCAGCCACCAATTTTCAAACTTAAAGTATGATTTAGCTTGTTCCCACGCACCACAGTCTAGAGCCACAGGTGAATGGTTCGAAATCAACCTTTGTTGGATAGATTGCTTGATGTTTCTGAACCTTGCATCCCATTCTTCTGAGATGAGAAATCTATCAATTCTTGACGCCGCTGTATGATTGAACCAAGTATAGTTTCCTCCTTCAAGTCGAAGATCTATCAACTCCATATCTTCTATACAATCCGAAAACTCCACCATCGCCCTGGACCTCCTTGAACATTCCCGTTTTTCAGAAGGGTACCTTGTAACGTTAAAATCGCCACAAACCGCCCAAGGACCTTCCATCAATCCCCTCACTGCACCAATTTCTCTCCATACTTTTTTCCTTTCTATTCTACAATTTGGAGCATACACTCCTGTTATGTGACATTGAAAGTTCTGTAGAAGAGCGTCAAACTTGCACGTCAAAGTGTATGCACCAGTCTGTAACACCTCCCCTTTCCATACTCTGCAATCCCATAACAACAAAATCCCCCCTCTCGTGCCGCTAGCTTCTAAACATGCATACCTCACCCATCTACCACCCCATATTTGCCTGACAATTTCCTCGATATCCCCCTCGACTTTTGTTTCTTGCATGCAAATAATGTCTGCCCTCCAATTCTGCACTTGACTTTTTATTATCTCCCTTTTCTTCTTATCGTTTAATCCCCTTACATTCCAGGAAATTACTTTGATCATCATATAGAAATGATTGATAGATCTCTTCCCCTACTCCTTTTCCCGTCACTCTTGAATTTGACATCGAAAGAAGTTAAACCTTTTAATTCCAGTGATCCTTTGAATCTTTGTTTCTTCACCTCCA